TTGCTGTTGTGGCCAGGCGCTGAAGAACAAGTTCGAGGCATCCCAGGTGGTGTCCGAGGAGTTCACAAAGCTCCTGGAGAAGCACGACCATGATTTCAATCGAGATCATAAGACGGCCGGTGGGCCTGCGGCTGGGGATACTGAGGTGAAGCGACTCCGACAGAGCCCCAAGAAGTTGCACAAGGCCTTTGATGATTTCACGGCTTTCCGTGCGAATCACCACACGTGTCTTGTCTATTAAAATTATTTTATAGTAGTTGTTGCTCTTCACCGGCTGTTTGCATAGCAATGTGTGGACCTGGAATCGGAGGCTGATTGAGTGTGGCATGACAGATTTCACTATGCTGTATGATATGGAAGAGGCGAGCCTCTGGATCAACAGCGACCGGATTACTAACGTCCCATCGAATATGGAATTCTTTGGGTTCGGGTCTGGAGATTTCGCGGACGGTGCCACAGCCAACGATGTTCTTTCGGATCCAAATGGGCGGTGGTTCCGCTACTGCCTGACCGGCTCCATCAAGGACATCCAGGTCATAGTGGAGTGTGACCGAAAGTTGCCGGAAGAAGTAAAAGATCTGGCGATTTGGAACAAGGCTACTGACATGCAGTTAATGTAATCACTAAGTCAACCTTGCATGTGTGCATACAAGTCACAATGGTTTCCGATTCCTCTTTTGCATTCCAGTCACAGTTGATTCTTTATGTCCGTTGAAGTCACAGTTGGCTCGTTCTTCCTTGATCCATCCCTGCAGTCAATCTCGAGCTTAGAAACAAAACTGTTATATAAAACTGTTGAGGTCGCGAGCCTGCACCACTTCCTGGTGGCTTTGGAAGATGCTGGGGAGCTCGTGACGATCATGAGCCACACGAAAAGCCAGGAGAACGATGAGCTGACATGTGACGAGAAGATTGTATTCGTCATGGATGCATTGAAAAGCGGCGCAAAGAAGCGCAAAATTTCGAAGGCCGGTTGTTTGGTGCTTTGTCCCGGTGCGGATGTTTGCCAAACATGTGTCTGTGTGTGTGCTTGTTTGTGTGCTCTGGTTTTGAGGCCCGCCCGCTTTCTTTCGGTGCACACATGGATCCGGCCAAAATCCGTGCTCTTCGCCCTCCATTCCATGTGACATGGCGTATGAGGCCGGTGTACATCCGCCCTCCATGTGATAACAAATGTACGAGCTGTGCAGTCACTCTGTATGTTTGCCAAATCTTCTTGCTGATCCCTTGAGGCTCACTCATCATCGTGTTCTCTCACCTGTGAGACCTGTGCTCCTTCATGCCCAAGAAGTTCAGGTCACGCCGGGCGTGCTCCGACTTTTCTGAGATGAGAAGATCTCTTGGGGTCATTTGTGACTCGGGGAAACCGTCAGGCGTGTGCATGTGTGCTGAAGTTATAGTAGCTTCAAGAGCAAGTAGCTTGTCTGGCATTCTGTACCAGGCCTTTCTCTCTGTGCTGACAACTAGACTTACATCCCAAATTCCCCAGCATGACCGAATAAGGCTGCCAAGCATACATGTTGCCACCAGCCGCAGTGCAGACACCAGATGGACCACCTTAGAAGGTGTTGGAGTCACTACTTTTGCTGCTGGAAGAGTGCCGGTCACCTGACATAGGGTACTCTTATAGGAAACTAGGATCCTCGGTCTAGGCCTGGTTGTCCGGTCTACAGACAACAACTATAACTGGGTCATGGCCCCCTGTGTTATGGAGTTCTCTGTTGAGACTTCAGAGGTTCTTGAGAGATTACGCTTACAAATAAATGGCACACATGTGTTTGGGCCGGGGCAGCTGGGCTTGCCGGGGCGATTTCTCATTTTAGGCCGTCGTGCACGCAGACCAATCCCTGACCATCCTTCAAAGCTGGTCGTCTGCTGCAAAATAGCCCTGAACGAATCCGCTTATGAATGAGGCCCAGGTGCGAGGTAGCCAGCAGCAGTTCTGTCGGCAGCGAAGCGCAGCAGCAGTGCCAGTGAAGTGCAGCCGGTCCTGCAACCAGAACAGAGCATGATGCAACTTAGATGTCACAAGATTTTTCGGCTTCATTTTTAGCTGTGGTTTGCTGGGGCCAACCATGGCGGGAGCTCATCATGCGCCTAGGCTGCTCTGAGAAAATATTTGAACCTATCGAGGCTGGATGTGCTATAGCTAGGAGGAACACAATGAACAATCAAGGTGGATTCCCAGAGCACCGAGAGCTCACCCTCTTTCAATGTGCCGGTGTTTCAGACGGCCGACTACGAGGGCGAGCTCCACGACCTGAATGCTTTGGCAAGGGGTGCTGAAGGTGCCTCAAAGCAAAGGAAGGAGGAGCCGGAGCCCGCACGCGTGAAGCGGCTGCCTCGTTTTGAGGTGAAGGACAGCCAGAGTGCTGATGGACAAGAGCAGGGCGAAGAGGAACCAGAGGAGTTCGAAGACTTCGATGAGGACGAAGAGGAGGATTCCGGAAAGAAACCCAAGAAGAGGCCAAGCCGCAAGACCAAAAAGAGCTCCAGCAGTGAAGTGGCAGACCGCAAAACAAAGAAGAAAAAAAAGGATGATGACGAGGATGATGAAGATGATAGTGCGGAGGCAGATCACATGCATGACCATATCTCGCTCGCTCTCCCTCTCTTTCTCTCTCTGTCTATCTCTCTGTGTCTCGCTATCTCTCTCTCTTTATCACTATCCGTGTGTCTGTCTGCCCCTACACATCTACACACACACAGAATGTTGATCCATGCACATACATATGTACAA